AGAAAGAAGTAGTAAAAATGATAGGTATTTTTGGATGAGGGCAACTTACAACTCGTTGCTTTTTATTACTTTCTTTTTCATGATGCAAAAACGCAAAGTGTAAAAGGTGTGCGGCAGAAAATCATAAGTCACATAGTAAGTACGTGAATAGTAAGAGATAATAAACAGCGGTACAATAATGGCAGCAATTGGAGTAGTCGCTGTTTTCGGACGGTAATATATACAATGTATAGAAATATGTGCGTAGGATAATCCAATAAATACCATCGAGAGAGGGAAAAAAGTCCGGTACCTGTACCTGTACAGACCAATGCACAGCATTCCGTACGACTTTAATGCTGCGACAAAGAGGTCACCGTACTTGCCTCCCTCGCCATATTGAGCCAATGGCCCGTCGTACAACGCGATCTGACCAACACGACACCGATCCCTATTAGCCAGGCTATCTGCCGTACTGTAAAAATCACAAGAGATATTACATTTAATATTGTGTAAAAATTTTTATAATTGACTGATAACTGTGAATGTCACACGTTTCCAAAATCCTACCTGTAACCTCCTCTTAAGCCTGCCCCTTCAGCCAGGATCAATTCCAACTCAGGCGTAGCTCCACCGGTAATTAATGACCGAATCAGAGTCAGCGCATTTTGGTTGAAGTATGTCTGCAAAAATACGTAAAGCTATAGTCTCTGTTTTGACTTTTGTGTAACGCTTCAAGAAACAAAGAAATATGAATGTGAACAATCAAGCCTTACAAAGTGTATTATTGACTGACACACATCCCACACACACACACACACACACACACGCGCGCGCGCACACACACACATTTGACATATAAAATTTGAAGACATATTTTTAATACCGTCGACATGAGGGAATCTAATACGCTGACTGCAAAGGCAGTGCCGCAGGCAAAAGGTTGAGTGAGGTAGAGTTCCGTGTCTGGGTCATCGTCGTCGTCCTGGTCAAGAAACTGTACGTTGCTGTCATTCACGAGTTCTGAAACATCGACGAAATCATACATAAAAATAAATACAATTATCCTTAATACTCAATTCATATTCACGAATATATGTCTTACAATAAGATTCCAATCATGAAATATTAAATAAATGATAATTTTTTCCTACAAAAGCATTTTTTAAAAGTTGTAATTAAAATGCTGTAATAATACTCTAATTAATCAACGATTTGAAATGACAAAATCTTTATTCTTATTTAAAACAATATTCAATAAAAATGAAATTAAAAACTTAAAAATGAAATTAAAAACTTAAAAAATATTTTCCATTACCTGTGATCATTGGCACATTCGCTCCATAAACGGATCCTCGTCGCTGCAAGACGATAGGGCTGCCAACTGCGATCAAATTATCTTGCTCATTATTTGCTGTAATTTGCACTTTTAATTTAATAGTACTAGACTTTAACGGGAAGACAAGATCTTTATTTCTTACTAATGAATAGTAATATCGTACCTTGGCTAAGCACGCCGATTGTATCGTCGAAAGTCATGGCTTTGATATTGAGGGATGCGAGGATGGCTTCCTTGTCGGCGAGGGTGGGGTCATCATTGCTAGGCACTTTTGCCGACAGGATGCAACACATGTCGCACAGATTTACGTTAACGGCACGCAAATCGGCTCTACTTAATGGTGAACCCTGCAAACCGTCATTTAAGCAAAATAAGAAACTGCGCAAAAAAGATTTCTCATTATGAAGTTATTTTTTCTTTCTCAGATTTATAATCACTTTTATAAACAAATTATATTTAAAAAAATATTTAATAATTGTTATATTTATTTAATCTAATAATTATAATTATATCTAATCTAATAGTTTTCCGTTACATTTAGTTAAAAGAATTTGCTTTTAAGTTTACTAGAAAAAAAAGTACAAATATCCTATTCAAATAAACTTGAGATCTTTTAAACATTCATAATAAAAAAAAAAAAAAATGTTTAGCATTATTACACAAGACGACGTGTAATTCAACAAAAGGAACAGCAGTTTTCTCACATTTAGAACCGATATTTTCGGTAGATTCTGCAGCATTTTCCACTCGCGACGTATGTAGTCCACCGATCCAACTATCACTACATGTTTAAGCTCGTGGTAATGAAAATTGGAAGCTCGTAATGGCATGACAAGATTCCTCAGTCCGATGAGAGGCGAGTCGGGATCGGCGAACAGGCAGACGACGACATGTCCGTTAAGAACTGTCATCGCCGCCTGGTTACGATCCAGTATGCAGTCTTCGAGATTACGGGAAGGACTCCAATGGAACATCCCCGTCGAGTCGTACTTCATCTCGGTCTTCTCGAAATCGAAATCTTTCGCTTGATCATCAGCGATCCCGACCTGAAGACCGCCATTGTTGTTAACGTTCGTGCCACCCGAGGCTCTGCTCGTTGGCCTGAAAAAAATCATACAATTGCAATTATACAAATGAAATTACAGGTATAAACATCATCATTATATTGTCAATGTCAATCATATTATAAGTAGAAGATAATAATCTTATACTTATCGAAACTTATAGAAAAAGATATTGAAAGGTATTGATACAAGAATTGTAAAAGGTATCACACTTGAAATTCCTCTTCAAGCTCTTATGAAATCGATCAAAATTGTAAAAATATATTTTGGCATGCATTTTATACGCATCATTTTCTATCATCTAGTACTACTGGTGTTGTTATTTTATATGTATATCAGAGCAAGTGTGAATTTGATAACAACTTTTTCGAATGCAGTAGATATCAAAGAAATATAGAAAAGAAATATAGAAAAATATAGAAAGAGTTTCTCTGGAAATTTTAAGCTCTCGTATTGCATGCGTGTAAATACAATGTTTGAGTAAGATAAAAGTTTAAGCACAGAAAATTGCTTCTACTTAAATTTCTAATTTTCGTGAGAGAAAGTAGCTGTAGATTTGTTAAAACATTACGAAGCCGAAGTTACGAAGTTTACTTACAATTAGATCTACTATAGATCTACTACATTGCGATATTGCATTCCTTTCGCAATTTCCTTTCCGCAATTAATTCGAATTATTTAGAGCATGAAAAATGTTAGACAACGTAATGTTTTTCTTCCTTAAACGTAATACGCAATAATTTTTCACGCATTCTGGACAAAACGTAAACAGCTATCAAAACTCGCATTCCCATGTATGACACCCACGTATTTTTACGACCGTCGTTAATGCCAGTGGCGCATGTTTTCCGAGATTAGTATCCTCGTAAATTTCTCATGGACTTCTATACTTTTTGCGGTCGCGCGACATGTAACTGCAACGCAGTGCGCAACTTCGAAGACATAAAGATAATGTTGAAGGGAAAATTTAACACAGAAGATATTACCTGTTCATGATATTTATATCCAGTCACTAACAACTCATTTTTATGTAATATTAAATATAAAAAGATTTACTCATGAGATATATAAATTATATCGATAATAATTGTCAAGGAAAAGCAATTTATTCAATTAACCTTTCTAACAATTAATAATGATGTAATTATTAATTTAAAAAAAGTAATAAAATTTAGAAGATATTAAAAATGAATTTTATGAAGAAAATTAAATGTATTGAAATTTATGAACAATTTCTGTCGATGCTAGATTTGATATATTCTAGTAATTTAAATTTTAATTGGAAATATCTTTAACGTATTTGTTTTTGCAAAAAAAATATTTTTCCAAGAGCTTAGATAACATTTTGTTATCGCACACTGAAAATCGAGTAGTACTTTAACATGCAGGAAGCATGTTCGTTAATAAGAATTATGGGATAAAGCAATCGCATAATCACATCACAGTACAAGGTAGCGTTAACAACAGAAGCGTACATGAGCTTTTTGACTTCGTAGGCGAGATGGTAGCCAGCGTATGCGGACTCCTCTTGCGATCTGGAATCAGAAGGTTTGCGTAACGTTGAGTCTATCCTCAGTTGACTCTCACTCTCTTTCTCTCTTTCTCTCGCTCTCACTCTCTCTCTCTC